GATCATTAATCAAAAGAAACGATCACTCATTATTTTTTTTGTAAGTGCGCATCCACCTTGGCTGGTTTTATTATATATAATAAATATATATAATTGTTACATATTAAAAATGGAAACTATGTACAAAAGGAAAGCTAATATATTATCTACAAATTAAGAACTCAACAGTTGTTTACAATTAAGATTTACATTTATTAATATTTACGTTTTGTATGTATTCTACAGTCCTGAGAAGGCATTACAATTGCTTAACTTTTTAAGGTGCGAGCCCGTGATTCTCTTATATTTCAGTTTTTTTACCATAATGCGTCTCCGCTCTACATCTGATTTTTGTGAATATTTTGAACGCCTGCCCTCCCATAGACTCATGATGCGCATCGCATCCGTATGTATCTCCTTCACCTGGAGTTCAATGTTCTCATTCAAGGAGTAGCCGACTATTTCGCTCAGTGAGGAGTTCTTGAACGCTCCCATATCTAAGATGTGAAACTTTTCTGCGCAAAATGAAGAGATTTCGAATACATTGAATGACTTTTGCATTTTTAGCAAATGCGACATTGATAGATAGCGTACGCCACTCTTATCTGATTCTTCTTCACTTACTTCAGTTTCAGTCTGCGTCTCACTGGCGGGCTCTGGTAGCTCTCTGGGGGTGGTTGCAAGGTCATCACCATTGGGTGCGTCGCTTGTCATCGATTTCGTTTGAGATTTAGTTTCGTCTTGTAATTGCGGTTCCTCTTTGTCTCCTTTTTTACTTTTCTTGCTTTTCTTTTTAACACGTTTCTCAATTTTTTCTTCGAACTCATTCTCTTCTTTGTCTTCTATTTTGCTGTCTTCTCTTTTCTCTGGAACCGGTTCTGTTAATTTTGGCTCCTCTGTAAGTTCTTCTATGTTCTTTTTACTCTTCTTGGCAGGCTTTTCGCCAAACTCTGCTTCCACATTGATATCCTCATTTCTCTTAGATTTTTTCTTCTTCTTTTTAGGCTCTTCTCCAACTGGAGCTACTTCGCAGGGCGCCTCATTCTCTTCCTTATCCTTCTTTTTCTTTTTGCGTTTTGGCTCACTAGATGCCTCTGTTTCTGGCTCTTCTTTCTCTGCTTTCGCATTCTCTTCGGCTGCACGCTTTGACTTCTTTTTCTTCTTGGACGGTTCTTCTGCCACTGCTTCCGCTGGAACTTCAGTTTCTACTGTCTCTTGCTCTTTTTCTCTGCTCTTATCCTTCTTCTTCTTCTTCTTTTTAATAGGCGCTTCTTCAACATTTTCATCCCCATTTGCGATTTCATTTGCTCCATTCATCGAGGTATTTTCAACATTTTTATTTTGCGCCATCTTTTGCTTCATTGCTTCCATTTTCTGTTTAAAATAATCATTGACAGACAGTCCAGTGCTTATAGTGCAAACGCCTGCAAAGTTAGGATTGACCGGTTTCTCCTCCGTCACTTCTTGCTGTTTCTTGATCTGCACTGGAATCTCAATTTCATCCGTAGCCTTCTTGCCAAATATGTTGGCCAGATCCTTCTCACTGTATTGTGCCAGATCCTTGCCACGTGTGAACTTCTTGTAATGCACGCGAGCCTTACTGCGCTTGGATTTCTCCTCCAGGGATATTCCTGTCAGCTTTTCCTTGAGCTTCTTTGGCTCTGGCTCTTCAGCAGCAGTTACATCCGCTTTGAAACCAAGGCCCATGGGTCGGGCATCTTCGGATTCAGATGCATTGCCGTTCTCCTCTCCTCCATGTAGGGACTTTAGCAGCCCATTGAAACTATCGTCATGTATAGTCCATTGATCATCGCGCTCCCCGTAGCCCAATCCTACGGAATCATTCTTGAAGCGCAAACGCACAAATTCCTGAGCACCATCCTCATTCGCACCCAGGCCACGGCCTTTCGTCCAGCCCATTTTCTCCAGCATTTTCGTACCAAAGCGCGTATCATCTGCAGTTAAAATAAAATTCGTAAATTCAAATTTTCATGCGCATTTTCTTTTGGTTCACCTTCGTAGAGTGGCTTGCCGCGCGGACACAAATTGTAGCGCTTGCGACGACGCGGTTCTGCGAGCATTGCCATTATTAAAATATTATTTGTTTGTACGCAGGTCACTTAATTTTTATGTTCAATAAAAATAAACAATAAATAATATTTGTGTAAATAAAATAACTTTTAGCTTCCGATACAAGCGCAGCCCATGCCAAACACGTGTTGAGCAGCAGCAAAAGAAACTCGAAAAGAAATCACGAAATCAGCTGTTCGCTATACGACGATGGCGAGTGTATCGTGTGTGGGCCATGATCTGAACATTTAAATAATTCGGCGCATTTTAGGGCATTTATTGTTAGATTATTAATATTATTGGGAATTTATTTTCTTTAAAAATTTTAAGCATTCTCACAGTTCAATTTTAAACAAAGAGAATCAAAATTGCTCTTTGCATATGTATTTTGCTGCAGCGTGTGTGAGCCTCATTAAACTGATTTGTAGAGCAGCATAGGTTTAGGAATAAGAAAACAGTTGTTAGGTGGTGCATATTAATTTAAAATTCAACAAACTTAATCTTATAATCATTTTTCAGATTTTATCCATATATATTGAATGTAAATTTTGAGGTTTCGTACAGTGCACTTTGCATGACGTGTTATAACGTGTGTGAGCCACACATCAAACCAAGTTCTATTGTGATTGATGGCAATCAAAGGCCGCTGCAGCGGCCAATTTTTTGTTTATTTACAATTTAAGCATATTTGATATATATTTAAAATGGATATAAGTGCAGACGTGAACGCGATTATCTCGCAGGCTTCAGACTGGAATTTTGCTGGTGACTGCGCTCTGCTGGAGCTAATGAAACGCATCTCCCAAGTGGGCGTGAATATTGATAAAAGAAGAGAGCAAATTTGTATTAATCACAACAATTTTCAGAATCTGCATGAGCGGGGCGAGCGAACGACCAACAATTTAATTCAATTTGAAACGAACGTGAGACGTGCTGACATTGCCCTGGACAATGCAACAAACAGTCTGCGTTCGCTGCAATTCGGACAGCAATTCGTGGAGTATCGCGTGGAGGAGGTGGACGATGATGATTTTGCGTTGCCGGAAGAGGAGGTGAAGAAGGTATTGGTGTATATTCTCGCTGTTATCTCGTGTATGTATTTTGGGCTTAATCGTCATTACAATTACAGCCTGAGCCCCCGTTGAAGACCTCCAAGGAACTGTCTGAAGAGTTTTTGCAAAATAATTTGCAAATGTTTAGAAAGAACTTTGAGGCAGTCACAATAGAAGTGTCCGATTCGGATGAGGAGGACGGCGCTGTAAATGCCACGTAAGTGATGCAGTTTCATATGAAATCTCCATTACCATTTTTCTACTCACTTGCAGCACTGTGTTCCGCGACAAGAACCCCTATGATGCTATTCCATTGCCTTTTATTATTGGCTCCAAGCAGTGGCAGGAGCACAAGTACGCGGGACTCTATGATAGTGCTGAAAATAGCGAGAACGAGCAGCCAGAGCAGTTCTCATCCAGCTCCTCGGATGAGCAGGAATTAGCGCAGCCAAAGGCTGCGCCGAAGCAACAATGGGACCCATCACAGCGATCGCTGCAATCAGATTCCTCTTCACTCGCCTCGCTGCCGAAGGAGGCACCAGTTGTCAGGCAGCCGGCGCCAGCAGCTGCGCCTGTAGTCGAGGGAGCTGCTCGCCCTATAGCTCAGCCTCGACCTATTATCAGCATGCACAGAAATCCACATGAGAGCGATTTATTTGCAGCGCTGCGTGCCTCGCCTCCTAGCGATGATCCGCCCTCCACGTCATCCTCGCTTAACTCTTCAGCCACTTCTCATGGAATGGCTGCAGCTACGAATCAATCAAGAGCAAATGTTTCGCTCAGCTCGAGCAGCAGCAACGTCAGCAGAGTCGTACAAGTAGGGGGCAAACAAAGTCCGCCCAAATTATTTGATGATGCAATTCCAGCAGCCACGCCTGCTGCTACGCCCATTGCAGCTGCCAGTGAAGTTAAACCCGTTGCAGCTGGCAATCAAATTAAGCGAAAACCTGTTAATCTGTTCAATGACGATGAGTTCAATTCGTTTATGTCGGAAATAGTGGACAAGGTGCAAGCTAAGTCAGGCAGCAACTCGACCCAAACTGCGACTGTGGCCAAGCCAAAGGAAGTGCCTGTTCCGCAGGAAGTCAAATCAAAGCCAATTGAGACAGCCTCGCGTCGACCAAATCTCTTTGAGGACAGCCCACCGTTAAGTCCCAATTTACAACCCGCAACTGTTGTACAGCCCGTTAAGAAGGTGCCCACATCGCTCTTCGACGACAATTTGGATGACGATGTCGATGACTTCTTGAGCTCCCTAGCGCCCAAGGCAAAGCCACAGCCGCAAGCGTTGAAGAAGTCTTTATTCGATGACGATGATGATTTGGATATAGATGATATATTTGTGAAGAACAAACCTATAGCGCCGCCAGCTAATCTAACTGGAAAATCTGCGCTGTTCGATGATGTGGAAGAGGATAACGAGAAGGACATCTTTGGCAAACCAGCAAGAGGCGCTGAGAAGCAGCCTGTGCCTGCGCCTGCGCCAATAGCTGCAGTGCGGACAGCCAATAGGAAGCCTACAGAGGCAGCTTCATTAGCAAGTAAAACCTTTTTGTTCGATGATGATCTGGCGGACGATCCAGTTTCTGGAGCTCCAAAAGCAGTTGTGAGGCATCCAACAGAGACTGAGAGTAGCCAGCCAGCACCTGTTCAGCCGATTGCCAGGAAGCAGCCTACGAGCAAGGTCTCCTTGTTCGATGGCGATGAGGAGGATGAGCAGCTAGTGGAAGACATTTTTGGTAAGGACTCCAAAGGAAGTGAGAAAAAGCCAAAATTGGTTGAGCCTGCACATCCAGTCGCTGAGGAGCTGCCTAAACGCGGTCTCTTTGATGATCAGGACGATGATGATCTCTTTGCCACGCCAAAGTCAATAAAGCCCGTATATATTGGAGCGGAAAGGGAAACTCAGCGACTTGCTGAGCAAGTTCCGACAGCAGATGCAGCTGTCAAGCCTGCGGAGGAGCTGCCCAAGCAGCTGGAGCTGGAGCCACAAAAAATTGCAGATCAAGCTGAAGAGAAGCAAACAGGCAAAGATTCGACTGATAAGGCGCTATTCAATGATGATTTCAGTGACAGGGAAATAGTAGGAGATTCAAAAGAGATTAGAGCAGTGGAAGAGCCACAGAACAAAGCTGCAGATGAGCTACCTGCTGAGCAGGCAAAGTCGGAGGTGCAGAACATAGATAATCAAGTGGAGCCACCTGCCAAGCCTGAGGTGCACTCCAAGGGTAATGAAGTGAAGCAGGAAGAGCTTGAAGTGAGGCCTGCTGCCTCCAAAGTTGAGCCAGAGGTGGAGCAGTTATTGAGCAATGAGAGGGAGACTGTTATGGAGCGTGGATTGGCTGATTGGAAGCCTGAGGAAAGCGTCGTGGCTGATGTAACAGAGGAGCAGCCAGAGGCAGCTGTTGAGGATCAGCAGGATCCCATCATCAGTCTCGTTGCGGAGCTAGGCCAAGGCAAAGCCAAGCAGGAGGCCCGTGCAGCCGAAGATGTGGCTGCTGCAAAGCAAATAATGCAAAACTACTCCAGTCTGTTCTCGGATGAGCCGCCCGATGATAGCGAGTTCTTTCAGTCTCTGGGCACCAGCAGTCTGCCCAGCTTGGGCGGCTCCAAGATGTTCGACAGCGAGCACGAACACGACTTCTATGAGCCCGCTTTGCCCGATCTGCCAGCAGCTGCTGAGGCCAGCAAGGATTATGGTGGCCTGCGTTTGTTTAGCGATGTGCCACCAGATGATGATGATGATGACGAGGAAGTGAAGCAGGCAGCAGCAGCCGCTGCAACTGGAAAAGCATCAGCCCCTGTGCAGGAAGAATCGTCGACACCAAAGCGGATTCATACGATCTTCTATGATGACTTTAGTGAAACTGCTCGCGCAGGCGCTGCCGCCTTCCTGGATGAGAGGCCGCCAGCAAATGTGGCTAAGCCCAGCTCTCCCGTCAAGAAACTGCAAATGCCCAACATAAATATCAATGTGCATGCGCTGCTGCCTAGCGCCAAGCTGCCCAAAAAGCAGGATGAGCCAGCTCCACCTCCAGTCATTAGCCAGGCTCCAAGTCCAGCCTTGAAAGAAACGCCCAAAGCAATCTCAAGCGAGGCGGAGAACATTTTGCAATGCGTTGGCAAGACGCGCGTGAGAGGTCCAGCTCATCGTCGACCCTCGACTCGACGTGCTCGACAGGCCAACTATGCTCAGAGCTTGCTGGAATCCCAATCGGCCGACAGTGTTGGACCTGCAGCAGTGCCATCAACTTCTGCCACAACATCGAGTGCAAGTGTTTCCAGTAAATCCATTGGACAGCTGCCTAGCTTCGACAGCGATGACAACGAGGAGCAGGCTGCGGATGATGCCCTGTTTAAGTCTCTTGCAACGGGTGCGGCAGCACAGACTGCTACGAAGATAGCTCCCAGGGAACCACAGCGAGCGGCGAGTGCCAAGCCAACTCTGTTTGSGGACAGTGATCCAGAGGATGATGATGATGCGCTCTTCGGCAAGGCACTCCAAAGAAAAGTAGCAGCTGTCGCTCCAGCAGCTGCTTCAATTGCTGCCCCTAAAGCTACTCCAGCCGCAGCTCCTGCTGTCCAGAAAGCTGCCTCAAATGCCTCGCCAGCAGCAGCTCCTGCTGTTACTCAAGGCACAGCTGCTTCAGCTGCTGCTGCAGAAGCTGCTTCAGTTGCTGTCTTGAAAGGTGCACCAAAGACCGCGTCAGCAGGAGTTGCTTCACTTTCTACAGTGCCTTCTGTCACTCCAGCAACAGCTGGTTCAGTTCATCAAGCAGTACCTGCTGCATCTGCTGCTCCTGCATTTACTAACCCAAAGCCTACACCGATTGCCTTGGTATCCACGCTACCGCCAGAGGATGACGTGAAGAAGCTCCCACCCAAATCGGCTTTCTTTTTGGACAGCGATGAGGATGAGGATGATAGTAATAGTTTTTTCTTTAGTCCAGCATCAACCGCTCCCCCACGAAGAGCCGCTGCTGGACCGCCCAAATCCTACGTATCCTTCCTCGACAACAATGATGACGATGAGGATGCGCTTTTTGCAGCAGCTCTAAGTGAAAAAGCAGCCAAGTCAGCACCAGCTCCAGTTCCTGCTCCTCCTGCTGCTCCTGAGAAGCTCAAAGCATCAACTAAAACGTTCCTGGATAGCGATAATGAGGAGGATGATGATGTCCTCTTTAAGCCAACCAAGGCAATGGCTGAGCCAAAGTTAAAGGATGAGCACAAGGACAGTAAAGCGACTCCCATTGCATTGACTAGAGAGCAGAGCAAACCGAAGGCGCTGAAAACGCAACTCTTTGATGACAGCGATGATGATGACGATGATTTGTTCAGCAGCAAAGCTGCTAACCCCACGAAATCCCATCCAGCGGCACCAACAAGCCAAGCTACATTGCTTGCCAGCAGCGAGAAGGAACCGAAGGAGGAGCTGCCCAAGGCCAAGGCAAAGCCAGTCATCAAACAAAGCAAAAGTCTCTTCAGCGATGACGAGGATGACGATGATCTGTTTGGCAGTGGTGCAGCTGCTCCAGCTGCTTCAGTTGCACCTGCCGGCGGTGCTAAGCGTGGTGCAAAGCCTGGAGCATCCAATGCAATCAAAAAGCTGACAGCCACGCCCATACAGGGCAGTTCCACAGATATAGCGGATAATCCGCTGGCTGATCTATTAGGACCTTGAGGAGCTTTAAATAAATAAACCATTTAATTCAATTATGTATATTTACACTTAGCGATTTGTTTACGTTAATTACACAACTCTACAAGAAAACAGTTTCAAGCATTTGTTAATCTCTAGTACAGTAATTAATAATACAGTGAACACTCGATAGTTAGACTAGTTACTAAAACTGTTAGCTCTATATAGATTCCACATTCATATACTCTATATATACCTAATATATGTAAGTATATATGGTCTGGATCGGTATTAACAGCCTACTTGTTGTAGTTAGCATTTATTCTGTGTCTCTCTTATGCCATTTATGGAGCGATAAGAGTTTATGCGACTTTGACCTACAATTACGTGAGTAATTACAGGCTTTACGGCTTAATTACATATTAATTGCACCATTCTTGGTTTAATTAGTTGAGTAACTACACTTTCCAGAATTTTTAATGTAAAAAATACAAATTAAATTTCCGCAAATAATGTCAATTACTTAAGTAGTTGTCTTAAAACTCCTTTCCAGTATTGCAGTAATTAGCACAAAATCTGAAATGTCAGAAATGTTATACAAATATTGTTTTCTTGTATTAATTTGTGAAAAACAATAATTGCTTGTAATTAAAAGGTAATTACAAGTAGTTACGGGTAATTGCAAGTAGTTACTGGTAATTATTGCAAATTACTGCACATAATATCTACTTTTAAAGCCTAAGTCGTTGTCGCTGTGAAAGTGGTAATGTTCGTATCGGACATAGGACGCTTATAACTAATTTGCATACAGCTAGAACCTCAATTGACAAGGTTTACGCACTGCAGGTGCAGACGAAACGAAGCGAATACAAACACTGTAATTGAGTTAGTTTTGTGGCTCTTTGGTCGTTATTCCGAGGAATTTCTTGTCTGTGGTAGTCGAGCAGGCTACAGCTAATGAGTATGATGTATAATATATATATATAGATATATGTGTGTGTGTGTTTTTGACTGGAGCATAGCTTAAATATCTACTAAAGAGCCACATCGCGATACTTGCGATAGTCATCGGACTCATTGCCCAGGGACAATTTGCTGTTGGCTGTGATGTAGGGATTGGCATAGTTGGCATAGCCGAAGCCGCCGTAGTACTGCAGGTGCTGCTGATGGAGCTGCTGCTGCTGCAGCTGCTGGGAGCCGCGTCGCTGCACTCCGAGCATTGTGCAGCTGCCCGTTACGCTGCAGGCCGAGGGGCGGCGGTAGAGATTGGACGCTGCTGCTGCGGCCGCCTGCTGCTGTTGCTGCTGCAGCAGCATGGCCAAGTAGTAGTGCTGCTGCTGCGTGTAGTTCTGCAGCAGATTGTTGCCATAGGCAGCCAGGTCGTTCTGCACCTTGCTAATGCCGTCGAGGTTCTCCAGGGAGATGCAGTTGCGCGCCAGCTTCTTCTGCTGGCCATGTCGCTGCTGCTGCTGCTGCTGGGCGGGCGGCGGCGTCAGCTGCTTGGGCTCGATGGAGCAGTAGATGGGATCATTGCTGGCGGAGCCAATCAGCGAGGGCGGCGACGGGCGGTGCGAATCCTGCAAATTGTGCTTCAGGTCGTCTATGGTTATATTGAAGTACTTGGCATTCTTGTCCTCCGTGTCCAGCACGTGCCGGGGATTGTACATGCCAGGCAGCGTGCAGCGCAGATCCATCAGCGACTGGGCGCGATGCACCTGATTCGAGCTGCTCCGCTGGCTGGGCACATACTGCTGGGGCGCAAACATGCTGGCATTGAACTCGTTCTGCGAGCCAAACATCTGGTTAGCTCCGCTGCCCAGGGGCAGCTTCGTCTCGTCGCAGAGCTGGTAGCCCGCGTTCTCGAAGCCACTCAGCCGCTGGCTGGAGCGCCTCGAGTCCGCCTTGGTCATGGGCACGCTGGGCGCCGGGGTTTGCAGGGAGAGGCGGGTCGCCAGGCCTTGCAGCTGATTGAGCACCTGCCTCTCGCGACGCCATTTGATGCCGGTGGGAATGACGCAGATCAGAGCCAGGCAGTTGATGATGAGCCTTATCAAATAGGAGGTGAGCTCCGTTAGGCCGTGCACCGACTGCAGACCCTGTGAATCGGAAGTTGTCAAAGTTGAGTAACTCTCTCCCTCTCTCTCTCTCTCTCCCAGTTACTCACCCAATGCTGCGTGGTCATTAGCATCACTAGCACCAGCTCCGGTATCGACATCAGCCCAATGACAGCCGACCAGGCGAATAGGGGCCAGCAGAGCCCACTCACTAGGCCATGGATCAGAATGGTCGTCGCCACAAACATCACAAAGTACAGTGTGCACAGCGTATAGGCGGCGAAGGGCAGCTCGCCGTGCGCCTCCAGCAGCCACGAGACCTCGCACGAGAAGGCGCCCAGGTAGACAATCTGTGCGGCAGGTGAAAATCGATGCGAGAAAAAAGCGAAAACGTAAATCAAATAATTTAAAGAAAAAACTAAACGGAAATCTCTATATAAAGTGGAGCTGCAGATGAAGCAGCGGCCGATGCTGTAGCTATACGAAAAACAAAGCAAAAAACCGGAGACACATTTGCGCCGCACTCATCCATCAATCAATTAATGAGTCTTGTCCAGCTGGCCGTCCGTCCGTCTGTCCGCCTGTCCGCTTGTGTCGATTCGTCTGTCTGTTTGTCTCACTGTCACGAAGAGTCGCAAAAAGAGTTGAAACGATTTCATTTCATTTTCACTTAATGGCGCAAATAATAACGAAAAAAGAAAAAAGCCATATTGTGGCCAATTGATAACGGTACCCACAACAGTTTATAGAAAGAAAAAAACTAACAAGAAGCTTATAAACGGTTCCTAAATACTGGCCAATACTTGCTCAGGTTTAAAGAACTGAAAGTCTGGAAGATTGGGTATCTTTGTTTTATGGAATAGAATTGATTGTATATTATATGTGTGTAATATATTATACATATATACGAGGTATTGCCTATTCCAAGAAAGGAAACAACTAAGAACAACATAGACTTATAGATACTGCAGCCTACTAGAAGTCTCTTAACTTCAGAGATCAGAGAAATCTTAAAAGTTAAACTTAGAATTTTTGTCATATAATGTAAATTTTACAGGGTATATGCACATAGCAGGCACATCACATTTCTCTAACTCAATCTGTCAGCTAACTTCTCTATCAGCTCTGCTCTCCAGTTGTATCCCTCTCTCTAAATATATCTCCATCTCTCTATAGGTATCCCCCTCTCTCTCTCTTTATTTGCTCTACTTCCGAGTTCTTTCATTAGAGTTTCGCCCAAGTTAATATGCTCATTCTCTGAGTTTTCGTTGCTTGCTGAACGAGCATATTCGGTGTATATAAGTGTAAATCACGAATTGGTTTACTTACCAGCAACAGGCCCGCCGCCACACAGCAGATAATGAATAGATTCGCCTTTATGAAGCGCTCCATGATGCGTTCGTTCCAAAAGTTTTGTATGCTATTGCCGTTCCCGTTCCCGTTGCCTTTGCCTTTGATGCTGTTGCTGCTGTTGCTGTGGCTGTTCTTCTTGTTGCTGTTGTTGTTGTCGTTGTTGTTGTTGTTGTTGGTGCCAGCGGGCCGTTTCGGCTTCTTGAACGGGGACGGTGAATGCGTTTCACTGGCCTTCTGATAATTCATGATCGTGTCGTTTCGTCGTTTGTTGTTGTTGGCCAAAAAAAAGAAAATAAGCTTTGATTTCGGTCGGCCTTGGCTTTGGCTGTTCGATGGTGGCTCTTAGCTCTTAGCGTTTGGCTGTTGGTTGTTGGGTCAGTGGTGCGAGGCGATGACAAGCTAGTTCTAGTTCTACTTGGGATGCTTTCTTGTATGTTTCAATGATGAGTTTCGTGGCGCTGCGAATGCGAAAGCGTTAAGCGGCCTAATTGAGGCTTGTCATGGTATTTTGGTTTTTTCTAGTTCCTATTTTTTTTTTTTTTTTTCTGTTAAGTTGCCCCTGAAATGGAAATGCAGATGAGTGTTAATGTGTAAGTGAGTGTGCGAGAGTATGCATGTATGTGTGTATGCATGCCTAACAAAAGACTTAGGCAGCGAACTTGTTTCGCGGCCAGCTAACGGCATGCTGATAGAGATTCACATTCAGATTCGACTCGACGATTTTCACTTTTTCTTAAAGCAATATTTGTTTGCGCGTTCGTTGCCTCAGTCTTTGGTTCTTAGTAGTTTGTTGGCCAAGTTGTTTGCGTTCGCTGTTTGAAAACGATTCACTTTAGCCTCAGCGATGTTTGCTTGAAAAGTTATAGACCAAGTCCCTTGATACTAGAGGTTTGATGCTTTTGTTTTCTCAAGGTAAAGTCCTCTTGCTGTAGCATACCAGAAATAGATGGGGACTTCTTTCAATTATTTAACAACATTTGAGTGCAAGTTTGTTGCTTAAGTCTTTATAATTTCAACAAGTTCGTTGTCTAAGTCTTTTCATCTAGCCAATCCTTTTGTCTTCTAAATCTGTACCACGCTTTTCATCTCATCCTATTCTAAATCTGTTTTCAAGTTTGTTGCCTAAGTCTTCCAACAAGTTCGTGTCCTAAATATTTGCTTCCTGGTAGCTCGTTGCTCAAATAGCTCGCAAATATTTACCGAACTTCGCCCTGCCTAACAATATTTGCTTGCAAGTTCGTGACCCAAGTCTTCATAATTCTAACAAGTTCGCTGCCTAAGTCTTTTGTTTAGCAGCACGCAAATTTGGGCTCAAATAATTGACTACTTATGTCATGACTTATAGCTCAGCGCTAAATGCTCAGACAGCTAGACGAGCGCACAAAAAACCTACACGCACACACCTGTGACACACACGCACACACACACAAATAGAGACAGGTAGTCAATTAATCGTGTTAGCGAACGCCAACGTCAGTTAACGGCTTAGTCAGTCATTTGGTAATCTGCCTTTAATAGTCAACGAAAACTGCGTCGTCATCAGAATTGGAGCCTCATTCAATGCCGTCAACAGGTGTGCCATCAACCCGAACATAATCGTAATCATAATCATAATCATAATCATAATCGTCTTCAAGTTGCGTGGGTGACAAACGTCGGCCCAATGCCAATGGGCCGGATATGCGCGCGCCTTAAGTGCTTGGGTCAGCGGCCCGAGGTGGCCCATTGAGAATTCTGCACCATCAGCCGCTTTCTTCTGTCCAACATAACTGCGAACGTTGCTCAGTTGGCCAGCAGAAGTCGCGCTGTCTTCTTCTTCCTCTTCTAATTTCTTTAATTCTTGTTGGCTATGCAAACATTGCGAGCAAATTCTTTTCGGCTTGTCCGGTTTTCTTTTTTCGGGCAATCCGTTTGAATAAAACGGGTTTGTTTATTATTAGCCATTAACCAGCCAGCCAGCCAGCCAGCCAGCTAGCCAGTGGACCAGCTGAAAATTTGTTATCTCGCTTTGCGTATTACCTCCGAAATGTGTTAAGTGAAATAGGCGAGCGCACGGGTCCCACTGAACGGAAGCTGCGTTACGCTAATCTAGCCGCACCTCAATTGCTCTAAGCGTTCAATTACTTCAAGCTGCCGAGAGTTGTGCAACAAATCGCTCTGTTTGACTTTTGAGTGATAAGCTGGAGTGTTGTTTATATAAAGCTCTGATGTGTCAGCAGATGAATGTGTTAAACATATTCGCCGCATTCATTTATGTGGATATTTGGAGTTAGATAAGGCAGATATTGTTTTTTTTTTTTTTATGTCTTTCATAAATATTTATATGCAGAGAAACGAAATTTTGTGTTGACGTTGGAATGAGATTCAGGGGTAGGTGGTTTAGTTTTTGACAAAGTTTACTCTTAATTTGAGTTGCGTTTTATTTTGAAAATTTTGTATATTATGCCAATATTTTTCAAACACAAAAGAAAACGCTATATATTAGCTCTAGCTAAAAAGTTGGCTCTACCAAAAAGTAGCTAGATATATGTTTGAATAGGATAGACGAGCTATAGATGTTTTGTAGCTACGCCTGCCCTATGTACCATATATACCATATTCTGAATATATTAGTTATTGCAAGCGACTTAATGGGATTAGGTTTAATATCAGTTTTTTATGGATTTGGTTAAGCATCTATTACCCTTTTTACATTTTTGGCAAGGATTTATATATCAGGCACGAATGAGCAGCTCCATGAAATATTTGCTTGATATGCTTTAGAGACAAGACAGACCTGCTTAACTTCTTGTCTATTTAGCACTTATCTAATAGTTGATTTGCATGAATCAACAAACTCTTGATTTGGCGTGTGCCAGCCTCATTGAAAAACTAGAAATGTCTTTTAAGTAGAGCCGCAATATATATATATTACTTATATAGCATTATATTCACACCTGTGTATACATAGTGTTAAATTTAGTAATATGTATTACAGGTCTGCATCATTATATGTATAATATATATAAACTTTGAATGTTAGTATACTGCATGCATATATATAGAGTCTTTCTTTAGAACAGTTCAATTAGTCAAACACTGCTAAGACCTTTGCCAATTTTCAGAAGGGAATCTTGGCAAAAACAATAAAAATCATTGTTAGGTCTAAATAGTTGTTATWCTCAATTTAAAGGCAAGTGCAAATGCCTGCGCAATGATGTAACAAAAAGCTGATTGTATTCAGATATAATATAGATATAATATATATATAGAGGGCTGTTTAAAAAGTAGCATTGAGGAGGGAGCTAAGCAAAATGTTTGAAATAGACGCTAGAGAGTGCAAATGTGTAATATCTACTGTTATATTACTTTGAAAGAGATAAAATAGATATTCATTGGAAAAGAGCTGAAAATGTTCAATACTTTTCTAGACTTTCCGTATTTTCAATACTTTCTATACCTTCTGTGCATGCATATACTCTATATAAATAAAAAACTTTGTAAGTAGCTTTAATTGATTGTCTTGATTGTTCATGCATATGTCGTAAATATTGACAGATTAGAAAGCATATTTGTTGTTATTATTGTGTTGCTGCTGTTGTTGCTTGTTGCTGTTGTTGCTGCTGTTGCTGTCAGCTGCAATAGTTGAAAATTAACATTCGCCCATCGAACATTGCATGCGGAATGTAACGACCTCTTGAGCCATAATATGAATTGAAAGACAGCGCGCCCTTGACTGCCACGCCCCAAACGCCCACCTTTATAACCCTGTCTCTCTGTGCGCGTGTGTGTGTGCGCGTGTGTGTGTTGGCATCTGTAACACTGCACAGCGTGGTTTTTTGGTATTACAAAATTTATGTAGATTCCGCATAATTTGCTGTGAAAAAGGCGCATGTCGAAACAACAATCGCATTGTGTTATATGTTAGACATATGCCATCTCTTTCGGCGGCTCTTGCTGGACTCTTTCGCATGGAATTAAATATCTAAGTTGTTCATGATGTTATGATTGTTATAAGCTCAGGCGCGAGTGCAAATCGTTGCAGTGGTGCAGCTGTTGCGTGCTGCGACTGCAGAGGTGAGTTCAATAGCATCCACAACAACAACAGCAACAACRGCAACAACAACGACAACTACAAACAATAATAAACCATAAATAATCACAATATGAAATGAGTGAGGCATGAGTGTGGTGCATATGCTTGAATAGACAACAATGCAATGCGGCGTGCTTAAACTATTATGCAAATCCTGAACTATGTTGAAAGGAAAGCAACAAAAGCAGCAGATAGGAATTCCAGCTAGTGCGTTAATGCGTTTCAAAATGTAATAAAAATATATGCGTATTTCTGTATAAATATATAAATTTGTATAGGCATACACATCCATGTTGTTGTTGTGGTTGTTGTTGTTTGTGTTTGTGTGTTCGATTTGATTTCGTTTTGATGGGCCTACCTTTCACTCGATTGCAGTTTAATCCGTCGTTAGTTGCAACAGCCACAAAAAGCGTATGATATATTATGATGGTACGTATGCGAGTCTCTCGCTCGCTCTCTGTTGTGTGTGGGCAAAGAAAACGCAGGAGAAAGACGAATTGTAGAAATTATCGTTCAAGCAAGAAATGATTTCACATGCGACACGGCCCGGGCCGGGCCTAAGATACACTCCCAGAAACTACGCAAAAAAGTACGCATCAACAAGTGGATGGAGGGTGCGACTAGCAGATGCCCTGGAACATTCTGTGTTTTTCGTTTTGCGATGGAAGCTGAGAATTTGTTGCTCTAGATATGGGCAGACCTTAAGAGGCCTTATATACCCATACATGTATATCCTGTATACCATATAGGCCGTGTCTACCTCTTAAAGCTTTCGAGTTATCCTTGACAAATATTTCAGTGTTCTTAGAGGACTTTGTTTAAGAAAGGTATCAAAGGAACTTTTCTACTTCATATTTAAGGACTGAGTGTCTTTTGAGCTTATATTAAACAATTTGATAAAGTATAAAGTATAGATCAACATAAATTTAATGCCCTTTTAATATTGTTATCTCTAAAGAGCAGTAGACTAAAAGCAGGCAAAGAAGTCAGAGAATTCTAGCTAAACGAAAAAAAAAAAACAAATAAAATAAACTTCATAAATACCTAAAATAAAACCACTGCTCGATTTGTTCATACAGAGTTCTATTGTATCTCTCTTCATAAACAATATACCCTGTTTACGTATTTGCAATGGATATCATAATAACAACAACGACGACAATGTTAAGCGACATATAAACAACAAAAATTGCTGAACGTTGAGTCATGCTGAGGGAGAAGTCGTCGTCGTCGTCGTCATCGCTGCTGCTGTCGCTGTCGCTGTCGCTGTCTGTTTCTGACTGTCGCATGCAAATGGAGAAACAACAACAGCAACAAATGCAGCAAAAAGGTGACTTCAGTATGTAAGAGTGTGTGACATATGTGTGCCAGGAAAAAGACAGCGAACAACGAGCAGCGAGCAGCGGAAAAGTGCTTAAGTAAGGAAAGCCCGCGCACTTGTTCTGGCACTTTTGCAAGCAGCGCAGCGCGGGGCAGCCCAATTAAGACTGGAGTCGTATGTAAAAAACGTGTTTGTTCATTAAATTCATTTGTTTGTAATTCGCTTTTTAATTTGTTTCTATTAAGCGCGACACTCGAAGCAAAAGCGAAATGCACTTGAGCAAAAGCGAAACAAAAAATCACAATTTAATTGCGTTTTAATTGGACAACGAACGGACAAGAAGTCTCCAAATAGACGTGAGAACGGAGCGCGCCACATGCGTGGTCATGCAAATAGTTACACGCACACGCACACGCACACACAGACACTTACACACTCGCTGCCAGATAACCGTAACGTGCTGCGTCTAACGGTAACGGTTTAAGCACAACGCGCGCGCGCGCGCTCTTTGAAACAGTTAAAAGTGAAAATCGAAATGACTTAGGCAACGAACGCGTTGTCTTCCTCTTCCTCTTCGACCAGTTCTCATATAATAAGCAATCGACGCGTCAGCTGAGCTCAGCGGCTGCCCCACAACTGAATTGCGAGTTGACTCTTTGCCCGTTTGGTTGCGACTCTGCCAGCGTCGCTGCCAGCGCCGTCGACGTCGACGTCAACGTCAGCGTCAGCTGCTCGCTTATTGAAATCATCTTCGTTACCCATTGCCAGTGTGTACCAAGTGGGGTATATTAAATCGAGTTGTATATGGCAGGTATACTATCAGTGTACAAACCCCATTGAAGGATATACTTACGTCACGTCTCGGTGCTAATTATATGCATAAGAGTGTATTTATATGCTTAAGCTACGGCATCGCAGCAAACCTATATACCCTGTCTAGCATATCATGAGCAAGTATTTGAGCTCAGCTCTCAGCAAGTTTGTGTTTAGCTAGGGTATGCTCTGGTCGATCAAGCCCCAGCTATTGTATATTGTCTCTTCCCTCTGTTCACACGCACTTTGTCGCTGCTTGCAGCGCTGCCTGCGTCGCTGTCGACGTCGCGCACCTTCGTTCAAACAATTAAGAAAAAACTTAATTTCTAGCTGGCGCTGCATTTGCATAATTTGATTGTCGAGACAAACCAAAACAATACTCGTTAAGATTTTCTTTCTTTCTGTTTCTTGTTTTTGTTTTTTGTCTTTTGGGCTGGCTAACGGGATGGCAGACAAATGGGCCGAGGCTGTCCATAGGAGAGTTTTTGGTCCAAGGGCCCTGAAGTTGTTCTAATTAAGAAATAAAAGAAGCGCATTTCTTTTCCATTATTTCTTTTTATAACTGCGTTTTTTTTTTTTGTGTATGTGTGTGTGTGTGTTTTGTTTGCCTTGGACATTTTGAATTGTGATTCGTATAAATTCATGCTTGGGTTTTGGTTTGGAAAACATAATTGATTGAACATTGATCAATTAGTAGTTAGTTTAACAAAAGCTTGAAGAAAAATGAGCCAACTAGCTGTCCTTACTTCAAAAAACAGTTAATGGTATGTATGTGTGTTTATATGAGGCGGAGTGAGCTTACGCTCAGGCTGCCTCCTCGACGCCCTCCTCTGGCTCTGATTTGCCCTCGTCGAACATGGGCCCCAGCTGACCTATGCGCTTGATTTGCTCCATTAGATCGGCTATTTCGGCGGTGCGGTTGCGGAACTTGCGCAAAAACAAATAGCCACGCAGCATCTCATTGTCCAAGACGCAGCTGCAAGGCGGAAACAGCAAGGGATTAAAGGTGAGCAGAGCTAGGGATCTAGGAACTTACATAAGTGCCGCTGCGGCATAGTTGCCCGTCTTCTCCAGCTGATCCAGCCACTTGTTTATAATAGTCTTAATGATGGGATCCGTGGCGGCCAAATGGATGCGCGCATTGATCAATGCCTCCTTGAAATACTCGTGCTTCAGCAGCATTTCTATGGCCTCCGTTTGCATGTCGACAGCGAGCATATACGTTGCTGCATGCAGTATGTAGCCCTGCTCCTCCATTTGCTGGGCGTAGGCCTTGCAGCAAATTTGCCAGAAACTGGAATGGAAATGGAAATGGAAATGAGAGCAATGAGAAATGACAATGGTGCGCGGGCAGCAAAAGGACGTGCGCGACTTACACATAGGAGACAGCGGGCGCTAGAGATATATGCCACTCGTTCAACGTCTTATTGGCAATATGCTGCTCCAGTTCCTCGCGCAATTTGAATGTCGTAACTGCCAGATTAACTGGAGCAATGTCCTTGTTGTTTGACTGCTTCAAATTGCTAACTGAAATTAGGATGAGGATTAGGATGAGCTATAAAAATGGAAACAACAGTCAATTATACTAACGCTCTGTAGCAACTAGCTCCTTGGCCATGACTTTGGTGCTAAACAGCTTCGACATGAGCACCGACTTGTCTATCTTGGCAGCATCCTCGGTCAGCACTATGGCCAGTTTCTCCAGAGCGCTCTTGTTGAGCTCCTTTTGGGCGAGGCACAGGCAGGTGCGGCTATGCTGTACGGGACAAGTCGCAGCATGAGTGAGGGATTACAGATCGATGATCCAGCTACTTACAGAGAGAAAAGTGTTTGGCGCACTTTGTGCCTCCAGCTGTTTGCACTTCCTGCACTCGAGCGCATTTGTATTGGTGCCCTTGGTTTGCAGACTCAGAGCGCCCATCATGGACTCAATCGGTGGCTGCGCCGGTTGCTGCTGCTCTTGTTCCTTTTGCTCAACTGATTGCTGAGCGTCCACCTCCGGCTTGACTGCCTGCCCACTAGCAGCAGCTGCTTGATTGGCCTTGCGCTTCTCGCGAGACTGGCGCTTCCTTTGTGCAGCGGTCAACGTGGGTTGATTGGGCTGTGCATTGGATTTGTAAGCCCAGTGCAGCTTGCCTATGGGGTCCAGCTTGGAGCGTATCTGCTTTTCGTTGCTGGCCAAAGCCTCTTTGATGCTAACCAGTTCGAGTGAGAGTGTCTTGCCGCCGCACATAATGATGAGCTCATCGGAGGGCAGGAACAGACCACTCCACATGGGGCACTCATATTTGATGATTAGCGGTGGCTGCTTCGGCTCCTTGGTGCTCCACATGCACACCTTGCCCTCAATATGGAAGCTGAGCAGCAAATGGGCATGCTGATTGCTCCACTTGACCGATGCAATGGACGCGCACGAATCGTTGTCCGTGAACTTGTGCAGCTTGGTCCAGCTGCGCGTGGCTAAGTGCAACTCCAGCACATAGATCATACAATCGTTACCCGCCACTGCAAACACATTCGTCGCCACCGGACTGAAGGCTATATCAGTGACATAGCGGGCAAAAAGCGCCGTACAAGGCAGTTGTTCAAACGAAGTTCTACTATGTAACTGAAGCAGACCATTCTCTGTGCCAATCAACAGCAAGGGTCCACGCACATTCAGAAAACTGGGACGCTCGATATGCTTCATCAGTAAGGCCTCTGAAAGAGAGCGAAGGAGACGAAGATTAGAAGTATATTCAGCAAGGGCTTTGTGAAGGGAGAGAATTTGATAAGACCTCATTCAGCGAAACGATAAATGAGAGGCGGAGCGAACCTATGGAGAGCGATCGCGACATTAGAGAGCTCGTGACATTATAGAATATTCAGCAAGATTTCTGCAAAAGAGAGAGAGAGAGAGAGAGAGAGGGAGAGAGAGAGAAGGGTCGAAGTATCGAAGTAGATTAGAGTAACTTTGATTTGATAATCGCTCAAAGCTGTTGCCAGGGGCAACTTGTTTGCTTGCTCAAATAACAAAAACAATCAACAAGGCCGAGAAGTCAAATTACATTTTACATTACGCTCAGTGTGCACACAAAAAGCTCATAAATTACTAGTTGCATTAGATAAACTAAGAGACGAGGGCAACATGTCGCATACTCATCAAAAAGCCCTCGACGACATTTGCCGGAGCATCGAGTCGCAGCTAGAGGAGCGCGACATCGAGGTGGACAGGGAATTCATAGCCTTTGTGGTGCATCTGCTCAT